GAGACATGCTGTGACAGATGCATATCCTGTCACAACAACCAGAAAAGCGAAGGAAGAGGATCCCAGAGGCAAAGCACTGCTATGCATTACCTTATGGACTGGGCTCAGAATGATTGGCTGCATTTCTAGGATTCTGGCAACCACTAGGTGGCAAGTGCAAACAAACGTACAACGATCCAATTACCACCACTGCATCTATAGCAGACCATGTTCTGTGCCCACGTGTTGCTCTGGACAATGTTTGACCACAATCACATTGCCAAAACAGTGAATCATGCACAAGATGGACAGGGGCAAGGGGCATCACACATGGGTTACAAGGTGACTCTTCCTGTCCAACTGACCAGGTCAACAAACAAAGCACATCAGAAGAGCATGTCATCTTGTGCACCATTGATGTACTGTAAGTGCATTTCTGGACATCACAATGGCAGCTGTCAAGTGGTGTGGGTCCCAAGAACCCTTTAACATCCTTGTCGTTGTGTGTGATCCAAAGGATGGCTTAACTGCCCTCTATTGGGCAGCACAGAATGGCCACACGAGCACAGTGGCATTACTGTGGGAAAAGGGCGCATCGGTAGACCAGGCTTACGGGGTGAGATGACGCTGCCTGTTTTGCTCCTCTGCAGCGCCTGCATCTGTGAACGTTCTTGTCTTTTGTCCAGAACCCGAACATTTAGTACTGCTGCATGCTCAAGACTCTCTTGTGGCTTGTAATGTCCTGTTGTTATGTGTGCGCTTTCCGGTATGATGGAGGCCTGTGCTGGATGTGTTGAACTGTCCACAATTGGTGTGTTGGAGTTGCGATTCGCCCCACGCTGGTGCTAGTCATGTGCTTTGGGTTCCGAGGTCCCTTTGACACTCTTGTTGTTGTATGTGCTGCACAGTATGGCTGGACGGCCATCTTGCAGGCAGCACGGAATGGGCACACGAGCACCGTGGCGTTGCTGTTGGAAAAGGGCGCATCAGTGGACAAGGCTGACGAAGTGGGACGACGTTGCTTGTCTTGCTCCTCTGCAGGGCTTGCATCTGTGAACATGCTTGTCTTTTGACCAGAACCCAAACATTTGGTGCTGTTGCATGCTCAGGACCCTCTTTCGGCTTGTAATGTCCTGTTGTTAGGTGAGTGCTTTCCGATATGATGAAGGCCTGTGCTGGATGTGTTGAACTGTCCACAATTGGTGTGTTGGAGTTGCGATTCGACCCATGCTGGTGCTAATCACGTGCTTTGGGTTCCGAGGTCCCTTTGACATGCTTGTCGTTGTATGTGCTGCACAGTACGGCTGGACGGCCCTCATGCGGGCAGCACAGAATGGCCACACGAGTATCGTGGCGTTGCTGTTGGAAAAGGGCGCATCGGCAAACCATGCTAACAAGGTGAGACAACGTTGCCAGGCTTCCTCCTCTGCAGGGCCTGCAACTGTGAACGTGCTTGTGTTTTGCCCAGAACCTGAACATTTATAACTGCTGCACGCTCGAGACCCTCTTGCAATTTGTGATGTCCTGTTGTTATGTGGGAGCTTTCCGATATGATGGAGACCTGTGCTGGATGTGTTGAACTGTCCACAAATGGTGTGTTGGAGTTGCGATTCGCCCCATGCTGGTGCTAGTCAAGTGGTTTAGGTTCCGAGGTCCCTTTGACATGCTTGCCGTTGTATGCGATGCACAGGATAGCTCTACGGCCCTCATGTGGGCGGCAAGGAATGGCCACATGAGCACAGTGGCATCACTGTTGGAAAAGGGCGCGTCAGTGGACCAGGTTGACGAGGTGAGATGACGCTGCTTGTCTTCCTCCTCTGCAGGGCCTGCATCTGTGAACGTGCTTGTGTTTTCCCAGAACCCGAACATTTAGTACTGCTGCTTGCTCAGGACTCTCTTGCGGCTTGTAATGTCCTGTTGTTATGTGCGCGCTTTCCGGTATGATGGAGGCCTGTGCTGGATGTGTTGAACTGTCCACAATTGGTGTGTTGGAGTTGCGATTCGCCCCACGCTGGTGCTAGTCATGTGGTTTGTGTTGCGAGGTCCCTTTGACATGCTTGCCGCTGTATGCGATGTACAGGACGGCTCAACGGCCCTCACGTGGGCAGCAAGGAATGGCCACACAAGCACAGTGGCATCGCTGTTGGAAAAGGGTGCAACAGTTGAACTGGCTGACGAAGTGAGACGACACTGCCTGTCTTCCTCCTCTGCAGGGCCTGCGTTTGTGAAGGCGCTTGTGTTTTTGTCCAGAACCCAAGCATTTATTATTGCTTCCTGCTTGGAACTTGCATCCCACTGGTAATGTCCTGTCATGTTGGCACATGTCGATATAATGCCCTTGCCGCCTGTCAAATTTTCCAAAAATGGAGTGTTGGAGATGCAAATCGACCCACGCCGGTGCTAGTCGAGTGGTTTGGGTTACGAGGCCCTTTTGACATGCTTACCATTTTACGTAATGCACAGAATGGCTCAACGGCCCTCATGCAGGCTGCACAGAATGGCCACACGAGCACCGTGGCGTTGCTGCTGGAAAAGGGCGCATCAGTGGACCAGGCTAGCAAGGTGCGATGACATTTCCTGTCTTGCTCCTCTGAAGGGCGTGCATCTGCGAACGTGCTTGTGTTTCTCCCAGAACCAAAACAGTTAGTACTGCCGCATGCTCAGGACTGTTTTGCGGCTTGTATTGTCCTTTTGTTGAGTGAACACTTTCCGATATGATGGAGGCCTGTGCTGATTATGTAAAATTGTCCATAGTTGGTGTGTTGGAGTTGCGATTCAACCCATGCTGGTGCTAGTTGAGTGGTTTGAGTTATGAGCTCCTCTTGACACGCTTACCGTTGTACATAATGCACAGGACAGCTCAACGGCCCTCATACGGGCTGCACAGAATGGCCACACGAGCACCGTGGCGCTGCTGTTGGAAAAGGGCGCATTGGTAGACCAGCCTATTTATGTGAGACGACGCTGCCTGTCTTGCTCCTCTTCAGGGTCTGATTCTGTGAACGTTCTTATGTTTTGCCCAGAAACCGAACATTTAGTTCTGTTGCGTGCTCGAGACTCTCTTGCAACTTGTAATGTCCTGTTATTATGCGAGCACTTTTTTCCATTATGATGGAGGCCTGTGTTGGTTGTGTTGAACTGTCCACAATTGGTGTGTTGGAGTTGCGATTCGACCCTTGCTGGTGCTAATCACATGGTTTGGGTTCCGAGGTCCCTTTGACATGCTTGTCGTTGTATGCTAGTTGTATGCTGTATGCTGCACAGTACGGCACAACGGCCCTCATGCGGGCTGCACGGGACGGCCACACGAGCACCGTGGCGTTGCTATTGGAAAAGGGCGCAACGGTAGACCAGGCTAACAATGTGAGGCGACGTTGCCTGTCTTGCTCCTCTTCAGGGCCTGAATCTGTGAACGTTCTTGTGTTTTGCCCATAAACCGAACATTTAGTTCTGTTGCATGCTCAAGACTGTCTTGCAACTTGCAATGTCCTGTTGTTATGTGGGCGTTTTCTGATATAATGGAAGCCTGTGCTGGATGTGTTGAACTGTCCACAATTGGTGTGTTAGAGTTGCGATTCGACCCATGCTGGTGCTAGTCACGTGGTTTGGGTTCCAAGGTCCCTTTGACGTGCTTGTCGTCGTATGTGCTGCACAGTCCGGCACAACGGCCCTCATGCGGGCTGCACAGGACGGCCACATGAGCATCGTGGCGTTGCTGTTGGAAAAGGGCGCATCGGCAAACCATGCTGACCACGTGAGACAACGTTGCCAGGCTTCCTCCTCTGCAGGGACTGAATCTGTGAACGTTCTTGTGTTTTGCCCAGAACCCAAACATTTAGTTCTGCTGCGTGCTCAAGACTCTTGCAACTTGTAATGTCCTGTTGTTGTGTGGACGTTTTCCGATATGATGGAGGCCTGTGCTGGATGTGTTGAACTGTCCACAATGTGTGTGTTGGGGTTGCGATTCGCCCCTTGCTGGTGCTAGTCACGTGGTTTGTGTTGCGAGGTCCCTTTGACATGCTTGCTGTTGTATGTGCTGCACAGTCCGGCATAACGGCCCTCAAGCAGGCAGCGCAGAATGGCCACACGAGCATCGTGGCGTTGCTGTTGGAAAAGGGCGCATCGGCAAACCATGCTAACAAGGTGAGACAACGTTGCCAGGCTTCCTCCTCTGCAGGGACTGAATCTGTGAACGTTCTTGTGTTTTGCCCAGAACCCAAACATTTAGTTCTGCTGCGTGCTCAAGACTCTTGCAACTTGTAATGTCCTGTTGTTATGTGGACGTTTTCCGATATGATGGAGGCCTGTGCTGGATGTGTTGAACTGTCCACAATGTGTGTTTTGGGGTTGCGATTCGCCCCTTGCTGGTGCTAGTCGTGTGGTTTGTGTTGCGAGGTCCCTTTGACATGCTTGCTGTTGTATGTGCTGCGCAGTCCGGCATAACGGCCCTCAAGCAGGCAGCGCAGAATGGCCACACGAGCATCGTGGCGTTGCTGAAAAAGGGCGCATCGGTGAACCATGCTAACAAGGTGAGACAACATTGCCAGGCTTCCTCCTCTGCAGGGCCTGCATCTGTGAACGTGCTTGTCTTTTGACCAGAACCTGAACATTTAGTACTGCTGCTTGCTCAGGACTCTCTTGCGGCTTGTAATGTCCTGTTGTTAAGTGGGCGCTTTCCGATATGACGGAGGCCTGTGCTGATTATGTTGAACTATCCACAATTGGTGTGTTGGAGTTGCGATTCGACCCATGCTGGTGCTAATCAAGTGGTTTGGTTTCTGAGGTCCCATTGACATGCTTGTCGTTGTGTGCGATGCACAGGACAGCTCAACGGCCCTCGCGTGGGCAGCAAGGAATGGCCACACAAGCACAGTGGCATCGCTGTTGGAAAAGGGTGCAACAGTTGACCAGGCTGACCAAGTGAGACAACATCGCCTGTCTTCCTCCTCTGCAGGCCCTGCATCTGTGAACGCGCTTGTGTTTTTGTCCACAACCCAAGCATTTATTATTGCTTCCTGCTTGGACCTTGCATCCCACTGGTAATGTCCTGTCAAGTTGACACGTGTCAATATGATGCCCTTGCTGCCTGTGTCAAATTTTCCAAAAATGGAGTGTTGGAGGTGCAAATCGACCCACGCCGGTGCTAGTCGAGTGGTTTGGGTTATGAGGTCCTTTTGACATGCTTACCGTTTTACGTAATGCACAGAACGGCTCAACGGCCCTCATGCAGGCTGCACAGAATGGCCACACGAGCACCGTGGCGTTGCTGCTGGAAAAGGGCGCATCAGTGGACCAGGCTAGCAAGGTGCAAGGATGTTTCCTGTCTTGCTCCTCTGAATGGCGTGCATCTGCGAACGTGCTTGTGTTTCTCCCAGAACCCAAGCATTTAGTACTGCCGCATGCTCAGGACTCTCTTGCGGCTTGTATTGTCCTTTCGTTGAGTGAGCACTTTCCGATGCGATGGAGTGCTGTGCTGATTACGTAGAATTGTCCACTACTGGTGTGTTGGAGTTGCGATTCGACCCATGCTGGTGCTAGTCGAGTGGTTTGGGTTATGAGCTCCTCTTGACATGCTTGTCTTTGTATGTGAAACACAGGACGGCACAACGGCCCTCATGCAGGCTGCACAGGATGGCCATGCAAGCACCGTGGCGTTGCTGTTGGAAAAGGGTGCATTAGTGGACAAGGATGACGATGTGAGACGACATTGCGTGTTGTGCTCCTCTGCAGGGCCTGCATCTGTGAACGTGCTTGTCTTTTGACCAGAACTCGAACATTTAGTGCTGCAGCATGCCCAGGATTCTCTTGCAGCTTGTAATGCCCTGTTATTAAGTGGGCGCTTTCCGATATGACGGAGGCCTGTGCCGATTATGTTGAACTGTCCACAATTGGCGTGTTGGAGTTGGGATTCGACCCATGCTTTGTCGTTGTATGCGATGTACAGGACGGCTCAACGGCCCTCACGTGGGCAGCAAGGAATGGCCACACAAGCACAGTGGCATCGCTGTTGGAAAAGGGTGCAACAGTTGAACTGGCTGACGAAGTGAGACGACACTGCCTGTCTTCCTCCTCTGCAGGGCCTGCGTTTGTGAAGGCGCTTGTGTTTTTGTCCAGAACCCAAGCATTTATTATTGCTTCCTGCTTGGAACTTGCATCCCACTGGTAATGTCCTGTCATGTTGGCACATGTCGATATAATGCCCTTGCCGCCTGTCAAATTTTCCAAAAATGGAGTGTTGGAGGTGCAAATCGACCCACGCCGGTGCTAGTCGAGTGGTTTGGGTTACGAGGCCCTTTTGACATGCTTACCATTTTACGTAATGCACAGAATGGCTCAACGGCCCTCATGCAGGCTGCACAGAATGGCCACACGAGCACCGTGGCGTTGCTGCTGGAAAAGGGCGCATCAGTGGACCAGGCTAGCAAGGTGCGATGACATTTCCTGTCTTGCTCCTCTGAAGGGCGTGCATCTGTGAACGTGCTTGTGTTTCTCCCAGAACCAAAACAGTTAGTACTGCCGCATGCTCAGGACTGTTTTGCGGCTTGTATTGTCCTTTTGTTGAGTGAACACTTTCCGATATGATGGAGGCCTGTGCTGATTATGTAAAACTGTCCATAGTTGGTGTGTTGGAGTTGCGATTCAACCCATGCTGGTGCTAGTTGAGTGGTTTGAGTTATGAGCTCCTCTTGACGCGCTTACCGTTGTATATAACGCACAGGACAGCTCAACGGTCCTTATGCGGGCTGCACAGAATGGCCACACGAGCACCGTGGCGTTACTGTTGAAAATGGGGACATCAGTGGACCAGGCTAGCAAGGTGCGATGACGTTTCCTGTCTTGCTCCTTCGAAGGGCATGCATCTGTGAATGTGGTTGTGTTTCTCCCAGAACCAACACATTTAGTACTGCCGCATGCTCAGGACTGTTTTGCGGCTTGTATTGTCCTTTGGTTGAGTGAGCACTTTCCGATACGACGGAGGCCTGTGCTGATTATGTAGAATTGTCCATAATTGGTGTGGTGGAGTTGCAATTCGACCCATGCTGGTGCTAGTCGAGTGGTTTGGGTTATGAGCTCCTCTTGACATGCTTGTCTTTGTATGTGATGCACAGGACGGCACAACGGCCCTCATGCAGGCTGCACAGGATGGCCATGCAAGCACCGTGGCGTTGCTGTTGGAAAAGGGTGCATTAGTGGACAAGGATGACGATGTGAGACGACATTGCGTGTCGTGCTGCTCTGCAGGGCCTGCATCTGTGAACGTGCTTGTCTTTTGACCAGAACCCGAACATTTAGTGCTGCAGCATGCCCAGGATTCTCTTGCGGCTTGTAATGCCCTGTTATTAAGTGGGCGCTTTCCGATATGACGGAGGCCTGTGCCGATTATGTTGAACTGTCCACAATTGGTGTGTTGGAGTTGGGATTCGACACATGCTGGTGCTAGTCAAGTGGTTTGGTTTCTGAGGACCCTTTGACATGCTTGTCGTTGTATGCGATGCACAGAACAGCTCAACGGCCCTCACGTTGGCAGCAAGGAATGGCCACACGAGCACGGTGGCATCGCTGTTGGAAAAGGGTGCAACAGTTGACCAAGCTGACCAAGTGAGACGACATCGCCTGTCTTCCTCCTCTGCAGGGCCTGCGTCTGCGAATGCGCTTGTGTTTTTGTCCACAACCCAAGCATTTATTATTGCCTCCTGCTTGGACCTTGCATCCCACTGGTAATTTCCTGTCATGTTGGCACATGTCAATATGATGCCCATGCCGCCTGTGTCAAATTTTCCAAAAATGGAGTGTTGGAGGTGCAAATCGACCCACGCTGGTGCTAGTCAACTGATTTGTATGCCATGAGCCCTTTCAACGTCCTTGTTGTTGTGTGTGATTCACAGTATGGCTCAACGCCCCTCACTTGGGCAGCAAGGAATGGCCACACAAGCACTGTGGTTCTGCTGTTGGAAAGGGGTGCATCGGTAGACCAGGCTGACATGGTGAGACGTCATTGCCTGCCTTCTTCCTCAGCAGGGCCCGCATCTGTACGCGTACTTGTGTCTGGTCTATATCCTGTGTTTCAGCCATTTTTCCTACATGGGGTCCCCTTGTACTGGTGATGTGTTTTTCCTGTAAGGATTTTGATGACCATTCGTAATTCATCGTATTGTTATATAGTTTTTTTACCCCTTGCAGGTGGTACATGCCATGTGCACCTGAGTTTGATGTACTCACCAGAATGAACCCTGTAGAAGCCTGTGATTTGTAGTGGCTGCGCCACTCACCATGCTTGCGTACATCCCCCAGCTGTGCTTTGCCTGGATGCCTTGCGAGTGCTAGTGTGCCCTGCAACACATGGTGGCTGGAAGCCCTACCGAGCACATCAAACTGGCCACAGATAGTGTATTGACCTGGTCAACTTCTGCAACCGCCCAGGCCTTTTGAGCACCTGCGTCCCATTGCACAAGCCATAGATGCTGATGGTGCAACTATCGGGATCTGTTTGTGTGAGGATGCCAATGTGCGCCTCCAATTACAAATTTTGATTTGGACTTTCAACCAAGATGCCAGCCACGCAGTTCAAGGCTGTGTGGCTGGTGTGCTTTGCCAGATCTCAGCTGTTGGATATGGACGCTGAAGAAGACTGAAAACTGCAGAGTGGCTCTGCATTTAAATGACATTGGCCATGTCACACTCACGTGCAGGAAGGACAAACTCCTTGCATGAGAGCCTTCCTTGGTTACCTATTTTGCCCACAATCTATCCCTGACCCGCGCATTGCAGCAGCGGGAGGTGGTGATTCCACGATTGACAAGGGTAACAGGACATATAAGCAAAGCCGTTGGCACCTTGATGGCATTGATTGTCGCAAGGAGGAGCCCGTGCTTGTGTTTTGTGCTGCACTTCCATTTGCACCAGGCGGCATCAAGACTCACGCCCTGGTTGTCTGAAAAGTGCACAGCACCACAATCGCAACCATGAGCAAGCATGCAAGCACAAGGGCTGCGTGAATCCTTCAGCCAATCAATGAACGCAATTTTTATGTTGTGCAATATGCAGCTGATACAAATTTGCTATTCAGCATCAGAAATGTCGTTGTGAAAAAAGGGCTAACAAGCAAGCTCAGAGTGGTTTCCAATGGACTAGAGCTTCCTGGCTGGCTTGCTCATTTTTGTGCTTTGCATCCTTTTTCCCCATAACTGTGGTGGATGGTTTTCTCCTGCACTTTCTAGCACCGAGAAATCGATATTGTGTTTTTGAACGATGGCAGTGATGTCTGCTGAACAATTCAGATGATTCTGCATCCCTTGCCACATTTCACTTTCTGTTCAGGGGACCGAAACAGCAGAATCAACTTGCTTTTATTTATTTGTTTTTTTTTCTGATTCCAAAACAGTACCTTACATTTGAGTGTCCAGGTGCCTCACCTGTCCTGTCACAAGATGTGTGGGCCTTGTGCCACCTGACAAGAGAGTGCAAGGCAATATAAAGCCCTCAAATTTGTTTGAATCACTTGAACTGTGTTGTACTTACGCATGTCATGAATGCTATTGCGCTGTGCGCAGGCAGGCAAAACGCCTCTCATGCAAGCTTGCATGCTGGACAATGGTATCAGGGCTGCAGAGATTGTGAGGATTCTGCTGCACCATGGAGCAGATGTAGATGGGGCAGACGAGGTGAGAAAGCCAGCTCATTGCAGCATTGTGTGTCACTCAGTTTTGCAATGTGCGACTTCGCGTTTGAAAATCTAGGATATGCACTCAGTTTTTCTTTTCTCTTGCCACTAGCTGCATTTCTTTGTGCAAGTTGTGAACAACACGAAATTTCAACATCATTTCAAATGCGGATTGAAGTAGCAGTACGTAAATTTCGATGCAGCAATGTTTGGAAAATTTGGTGTCCAGCACATGTGTGTCATGTGAAGTAGCAATCTATACAAATATGGGTGCCACAAACTAACTATGAGGATCGATAACTCGCCAGCAAAATGTGGGACTTGGCAAATGGACAGTTCAGTTATGCGCCAATCTTCGTGTCTGTTGCTCTGGTGTGCGTGCTTTAAGAACACAGGTGTGTTGCATGTGCCAATACGGTGCATAGAAATGACATGGCCCCCGGTGTGGACACCTAGCAGATGTGCATTTCAGTGGCCGAACCTATAAAATCTAATGTTCCATGATCGACCTGTTTAATTTCTGAGCTGCTTGTGGTTATGGGGATTGGAGATGTGCAATTCAATGAGGGTGCTCTGGAAGTAATGCTGCGCATATTGCAAAGTTGCCACAGGCCAGTGTAGCGACCATCCCAGTGTCTGTGGCCAGACAATTTCAACAAATATCTGTGGCAGTGTGCAATGTGCTGCTGTCGATGATTCACCTGTTGAAGCACATTGAACATAAATCGAGCCACGCTGGTGTACATCAAGTAGTTTGGGTTCCAAGAGCCCTTTGACAGTCTTGTTGTTGTGTGCGATGCACAGAACGGCCTGACAGCCCTCATTGGGGCAGCACAGAAGGGCCACACAAGAATGGTGGCACTGCTGTTACATGGGGGAGCATCGGTAGACCAGGCTGACAAGGTGATATGACGTTGCCCATCTTCCCTGGCAGAGCCTGCATCTGGGCATACGACTGTGTCCAGAACCCGAACATTAGTATCTGCTCAGGACTTGTATCCGACTTGTAGAGCCCTTTGTTAAATGTGTGCTTGCCGATATAGTGGAGGTCTGGTGTGCATTTGTTGATATCTTGAATACTGATGTGTCGGGGCTGTGAATCGACCCACGCTGGTGCTTGTCAAGTGGATTGGGTCCCGAGAGCCCTTTGACATCCTTTTCATAGCGTGTGATGCAGAGGAGGGCCATGTTTGTGCAGTTGCAGCATCGGTACAGTTCTGATCTGTTGTTTAGTCACTTACTGATGCTTAGGTATAGTGCTCATTCAGCCCTGAGAATTTTTGTTTGCGGCCTGATATTCTGCTGTGACATCTAGAATTTGTCAACAGCTCTCATCTATGCCGCAAAAGGTGGCCATGATGGCACCGCTATGTCACTTGTTGCTCATGGAGCATCAGTGAATCACTGCAACAAGGTGAGACATGCTCTCATGTCAATTTGTGTTCTGATCAACTTGAATTGTTGCTGTCAGCCACTCTTCAGATTATCGTTAGGATATCTGCAAGGACCATGTGCCTCACGTGGATACATACAGAGCCAGTTCATTGCAAATCCTGGTACATCTGGCTTGAAGCTTGTCCAAGTTGCAATAGCTCTACATACCTGCTGTCTGGCTCTTCAACATGTGGGCAACAGTTAATCTGTCTCTGCGGTAATTATACATCGAGAATAGTTATGCCGATTATCTTAAATCCACTGTCTTTACACTAACCAACTCAGCTGTCAATGAAGACTTCTGAACGCCCTTACCTGGGAGTGCAGAGAACCCTCCAGAATTCAAAACCAAACTCCAAATGCAAGGCATGTACTATAGCATAGCCGTCATACGAAAACGATGAAATTGCGCGAGTTGCCCTCGTTCTGGCGTTTTCACACATTCAGAAAAGGGCAGGGTCCAGCTTTTTTGTGTTTTCAGAAGGCTTTAAGGGCATTGGCAGCTGGTCTTTGTGAACAAGATGTCTGATCATGTTGCTGGCCCCCCTTTTCCGATTCTACGATGACAAAAAGAAGGGAAAGGGATGATGTTGTGCATCGCCTGTCATTGCATAGCATGTGTTGTGGACAACATCATAGAGTGTTGGAGATTGTTGAAGGGGGAATGGAAGAAGCCTGGTGTGCTGGTTATGTATTGTCAACAGACTCTAGTGCAAATGTGAGATATCCCTTTTGCAGACTCCCTTTACACAGTATTTTTTACATGCCATGGAATTGTGTTCTGTGTTGATATGTTTGATGCAATGCAGTTTTCCTGGATGTAACTCAAACTTATGGCAGGTGCACAATGACGGTAGTTGTGTGTTGCAGTGGAGACTGAATTGGGTCAACCAGTATGGAGACAGTTGTGCACGTCCTGCATTCCCAAAGCCCACACCAACCTGGCTTTAGTAATTTAGCATGGGTGTGGATGCCTTTGAAAATGTAATATTCATCTGCCAGTGCATAGCATGATTGACCTACAGTGAACGGGATTTGGTGCTGGAGTGTAATGTTTGCAGAAGGGCAAGGTGTGTCTGTTGTATGGGCGAAGGCTCGTGTAGGGCAGGTTTGCACATGCACATGTGGAATAATTTTGACAGTAACTACATATATGAGGCAACTACAGCAGGAGCTGTCCCATGCTTGTGTTGAATTGCTTCAACAAGTTGAATAGGGATTGCCAAATTAATGAGCTGGATGTGTAGGACGGCCGCACCCCTCTCTGGTACGCTACAGAAGGTCACAGCGGAGTGGTCATTGGATTGTTGATGGGGAATGGTGCTCGCATGGTAATGACATCTGCTGCATGTTCTTTGTGAGAAGTCTGTTTTAGTCCATGTTCCAAAACATTGAATGTGTTTCTGTGGTAGTTCCTGTACAGAGTGGAAGTCCCTCTGCTGAATCGTTTAGATCCAGTCTGGCACACCATTGGCAATGTGCATTGGTCCTATGTCAGGGTCTGAGCTCCAGCTTCGTTCCAGCAATGCTGGACTCCAAAACTGTTTGCATTCAAAATCTATTTGCACTTGGTGAGGCATTGAGCAGATGCTCAGGTTTGGACTGGCCGTTCAGGATAGTGTCATATGACCCTCAAAGGAACCCCAGCCCTGTGAACCTGGGATATGCACTGGATGTGTTGCATTTACCTGTCAAATACCTGTTTGCCTTCTGTGAGTGTTTGAGGGTTAGACACCTCATATAGCAGTGGGTGCGGTGTGGAAATGATGATTATTGCAGGAAGCTGCCCTGTTGTTGATGTGCATATGGAGCTCAGTCCTGACATCTGCTTTAACTACCTTGCTTGAGACGATTGCATTTTGTCCCAGCTGCTGAGACAGGAATCATGGTATGCTGTTCCACGTGCACAAGTAGAAAGTACAGCTGGGATGTTGAGGCTGCCAACAAAACAGTGTTGCCCATTCCCAGATACACCATGCACATATATTCGCCTAATCCCCTTACTTGTACATTTCCTGCTCGTGAGTGTTCATATTGCTGAGCCATGTTGACTATACCATCCAGCGGGTGGCACCCACCCATTTTGCGCACAAAGAGCAGTAACCACACCGGCACATCCTGTTCAGGGTGAATTCTATTTGTATGTGCAGGAGAGCTTCCAGGCAGTGAAAGCCAGCTGTAGCGTATTTTATTCCTGTCAATTTCAGTAGAATTGAAGAAGAGGAAAATGGACAATACACCAGCAGCACTGACGACTGAGGTCTGGCATTGAGCAGGCTGTCTTTTTCTTTGTAGGAGAGCCTCACATACAATGCTGGAATTGTGACGTTTCTCCTGAAGCAAATGATGGTAGTTAAAAGCATCAATGGCGATGAAGAGTCGAAAAGCATTTTGCGAAAGGGAGATCGGTTCGCTCAAAAGCATGAAATACCCTTTTGTCTGAAGAATTTCTACACAGTAGATGATGCACGACAGGCAGCCCAATCATTCTGTTGGGCACTGCGAGACAGCAAATGTGTAAGAAGCAGAGGTCTCCAGTCCCAGATTGAGGCAGTCATACCAGAAAGCATCATCACCAAAGACAGGGAGCATTTGCGTGACATGCTCTCCTATGTTCTGAGAGGCAAGGAATGGAGTAGTGCAAGCAAGGGGCTACTGCACAAGTGGGAAGATGCCAGAGATAAACATGAGCAATGGAGCAGGCAGTGGGCAGTTCAAGAGGAAGATGTTGAGGTTATGCGCATGCTAGGAAAAGGTGGCCAGGGTTGTGTGCATAAATGCCAGTACAAGGATAAAGTGGCTGCTGTGAAGATGCCAGCATCATACAAACCGGGCCTACCCATTGATGACTTTGCTGTGTTGCTCAAAGAGGCCTATTGGCATTCAGAGCTGAATTCCTTGCACGCACCCCAGCTGTTTGCGATCACCAAGTCAGGCTGGATTGTCATGGAATTAGCTGACAAGGACTTGCGCACACTGTGCCAGGAGCAAGACATTGGTTGGGCAAGAAAACTTCTCCTTCAGAAAGGCGCTTTTGCACTGATGTACTTTCACAGCCACCGAATTGTTCACAGTGATGTGAAGACCCACAATTTCCTGGTTTTTGAATCTCATCAAGATGACTGTGATGTGAAGCTTGCAGATTTTGGCCTTGCAACTGAAGAAACCTCCACAAGATGCCTGACGGTGAGGCTTGGAGGGGGAACAGATGTGTACTTGGCCCCTGAAGTGTACCACAACGAAGCGCCAACCATGGCTTCGGATGTTTATGCGTTTGGCGTCATCATGTATGAGGTCATAACAGGCAAGCAACCATATTCTGCTGAGGGTCAACCCTTGAATCCACAAGCCATCATGATGAGGAAAACTCTCGGACAAATGGAACCTTGCAGCATTGCCCCTGAGGATTGTCCAGAGGAGATGCACATTCTGATGAAGAAGTGTTGTCAAGAGGATCCTGGGGGGAGACCAAGTATCCATGAGGTTTATGCACAACTGTCAGCAATGCCCAAGTCTTGGGTGCATACGGTGAGTTCTGCTGCCTTGCGTATTGCAAGTGTTGCAGTGGCTTTGAAACACAGCTGAGTTTTGAAATGGAAACAAAATTCACTGCTATCATAGAGTTTGTACTATGATACTTTAGCTGCCACACATACCATTGGAATTCTTGTGCGGTCCTTTGTCTGCAAGTTCATTGATTATACCTACCCAGCTATCCCCCTTTTACAACAGTTTTGGTAGCGGCATCACAGCACATGAAGAAGGCTTTCCATTGAACATTTTGTTGTTGTTTCAGTTTGTTTGCCCATGGTGCATTTATATAACTACTAACCCACTGAGAACTGGATAACCCTTGTAACCAGCCAGCTGACCCCGAAACTGGGCAGTTTTCTCAACCAGCCCGCATCAAGCTGTGGCGTGTGCCACCTTTCTTCAGTCACACACTCCCAACGCTGGTCACTCGCCCTTAGCCAGAATCTCTGAGCACATCCCTTGGCTGCTGCCAAGCCCAACGTGGCTGCGAAACCCACGTGGTCGAGGGTCACCCTGGTGCCCCCCCACAGGTACCCCAGCAGGGCCATCGGTCCATGGCACTGGTGCATGGCAGCATGGAGATTTGAGAGTTGGCATGGAATTCTATTGTTACAATGGCCGTCTACTCTTCCCTTTTAGACGACTCCAGATCGTTCGTTGTTCCTACTCCTAACTACAAGCCCCTACATTCCATGCCCAACCTGTGTTTTAGTTCAATCCCTGAATCGCTTTCCCCTTCAATAAATCTAATCCCACTTACAAAGTTTCCAGCCACGAAATTACTGGACCACACCTGTGGCACATTCCTTGTTGCCCTAGTGCGCATTGCACTATCTTGTCTTCTGCTTTTCTCACCTCCACTTGTTCCGTGGTGGGGGAATTTGAGGCCTGACGAACATCCTTTGCAATTGCAAGACAAACGCATGCCTTGTGAACCATGTGTATTGCTCCAGAAACAATCTATTCAATTGATGGGCACCTCTGTTGCAGATTGTCAACGATTCTCAGATGTTACCGGTCTCTTAGAAATCCATTCTGACGCTCATACCACTTGTCCACATTGCCTCTCTTTCATCGAATCCTTTGATTACATTTGTCACATAAACATGACAAAACACTGCCCTTGCACCTTAGAGGCGATGTTGGGCATAGAATCCGGACCAGTGTTTGGCAATGTACCACATGTTTTGTTCATTGCCTCTCTTTCAATTGGTGTACAGTTTGTGGCAGTGATGTCCATAATGTACTGGAGGAAGTCCCAACTGCTTTTGTTGCTAAGAACTAAACCTGTAGCACAATAGCCTGCAAAGGCACATATCTGCCACTGTTGGAGGATGGGGAGTTGTGGAGGCATTGGAAACTGTGGATCACAGAATGTTATCTGATGGCTGAACAAGAGGCACGACGAATGGAGTAACAATGTGTTGTGAGAGAAATGTTTGTCCATGGCAGGATTGGCCCTCATATCTGGTGCAAAGTAATGTAGACTGGTCCGAACATTGCAATTCAAGGCACGCTCAGTGCAGCAATATGAGCCTTCACATACACAGCATATCCATTCATTGGATTGCCGCACTCACCCCACTATTCTGCCGCCTTGTGGTCAACCAGGGTTCATCTGTGGAGAAGCTCACTGCAATTGTTGTGGAGGCGGAGAAAGAAGTTGAGCGTGCTCTGTACAACAAAAAAATGCTGGTGTTCTTGTATCAGCAGATGCAAAAGGTCAAGGAGATGAATGACATCTCTATCCAGGCATCAAACGAGAGCATCCCAGAGGCATTCGAATCCTTGAAAGTGAATTTGCTATTGGGGACGAAGCTGATCAAGCATCACTCGCAAGTGTTTATTCAGCATTGCTTTTACCCCATCAGAGAGGCCAAATTCCTTATTGAGAAGATCTGCACAGACTGTAGAACTGCTATTCGCAAACTCAGTTGCAGTTCCCGCAAAGAGATTGTGTGCAAAATCCCGAAGAGCTGTGTGGATCAAGATAAATCTGCCATGGGAAACATTCTGGAGTACATCTTGGGTGAATCAGATGCACATTTGCAAGATGCGTGGAAAGAGTGGAAGCAAGTGAAGGACAGAAACGCGGAGCTCCTGCACCAGTTGCAGCCCACTTGCAACGAACAAATCCCATTGCAGGATGAGTATGTTTTGTGCGAGAATGATGATGTTCAGGTTTATGAAGCGGAGTGGGAAGGAAGCAATGTGATGGTGAAGTTCCAGCATCCTACTCGTGACAGAGTTGCATGTTTGGAGAGTTTTGCCGAGGTTTGCTCATTCCTTGCCCTTCACGCTTGCAAGAAAAGCGCACACATTGCCAGTGTGGTTGCTTACTCCACATCAGGCTCAATAGTTATGAAAGGGGGAGAGGCAGATTTGGTCGGGTGGTATCAGGAGCAGGGCACTGGTTTGTCCTGGAAGTCGAGGATTTATGTCATGTGGCAAGCCTCGGCTGCGTTGGACCGACTGCACAGTGGTCCCACTGCACTCGCCCACTGTAGGTTAGAGACCAAGAGCTTCTTGGTGGATGATCTTGGCGAAGAATTTCCGCTTGTCACACTCTGTTGCTTCAAGCTGGCAAATTGCGGGCCTGATGCCCAGAAAATTGAGGTGCAGCAGCCAAGGAGGTTTGTTTGTTTGTTTGACGCCCCAGAATTGCAGAGGGGAGGCCTGCGTACTCTCAAGAGCGACGTCTACAGCTTTGGCTTGGTTCTGTGGGAGCTCGCAGTGCAGATGTCGCCCAGTGAGATGCGCTGTGGTCACCAGGGTACTGGTGCTAATAAATTGCTGAACACGGTCCCCAGTGACTGCCCTACAAAGCTGAAGTCAGTAATTGAAAGCTGCTTGTCGCCTGCACCTTCGAAGAGGCGAAGCATGCGCGAAGTGCATGGTGAATTGACGGTGCTCAAGGAGGAATTCATTGGTCAATATTCTTCTGCCGTCTGAGTTGTGGCAAGGGAAGGTGGCAAATGTACCCAGAAAATGGAAGTTTCTGAATTGGGTGGAAGCATTATGAGGTTGCCAGTAGGCAATGCGCTTGGGTGAATGCTGTCCGTGTAAAGACAAGATGTGCGTTGATGTACAGCATTGAACAGCGACTGCAAGGGCGCGGGAAAATGCTGGATAGTCTGATTGTGATGCGTGCTTTGTGTGTTGTGCCAACGGATGGAGGTATGCGCAGAATGGGAAGGTTCCAATCCACCTAATCTTGGCACCATGATTGCAAGGACCCAAGTGATCTTGTCTGACTCGCTAGCATGTACGATAAGTTGGATACGGTGGAAATATTAGATATCGCCAAGCTGGCGCCGTGTGAGGCCCAATATCTAATAATTGGGTAGCTGCATAAACAACAATCAACCCAAAGGATTCGGCCTTGTTCCAGCCGAAGAAGCAAAGCAAGAAAAACCATCCGTTGAATTTCGACGGGTTTCTGTCATGGCTAAAGTTGGGCGGGCTGCACCTGCGGTCCGAGTGGGCAGTGTAAGAGATGGCTGCGCATCATGACAGGCACCCGTGGGCATATCCACGATAATCCACATAACCTTTGCCCTTCGTGCATCACAACTGGCTTGGCTTAAGAGACTCGAGCTCAGCGCTTGGCACAAGGCAACGACGCACAGAGGACGTCCGCCTTCTTGTACATGGAGAATCGCAGCAGGGTTGGCCGCACAGCACGACCCGGGGTACCTCATCGAAGCCTAACAGGGCACAAACGACAGAAACGCCCGAAGGGACAGCTGCTTTGAAGCCAAACTGATCAGGCTCCAAGATGCAAACAGTGAGCAAGGGACACGCCCACGCTCCAAATGCCACAGCCACGGTCTCATACCGCTCAGAACTGTTGTTCACATGGCTCGTCTGTTGTTGAGCAACAACAGCTTGCGGCGTCGCACGTTTCGCGAGTGCCGGCCCAAACACCCTAGCTGTCGCAAAGAGACGGCACAGTCCAAATCTGAGTCGGTACCTACCAAGTCGCATCCCCACATGAGATTTCTCATCGCCCTTGCTCCCACTGCGTCCGCTTTACATCTGTTCATGCCACCTTTGAGCGTGCTGTGAGCAAATGTTCTCACCTAACCCCACATCGTCTGCTTTTGTGTACGATGAGTTTCTGTCAGCAGCCAGAGATTCAAAGAGGTGATCGCATGTTGAAAATTCCGATCTGAATCCAGCCTGAAAATCAGTTCGTACTGATCAATTTGAAATCCCTTGTTTCAATCTTCCAAGAAGAACTTTTCTTGGAAGTCACATTGAACACACGCACATATTCTGTAGTTCAACAAAATATGTCCGTAGACATGAGGTCAGCATGATTGGTCGATAAAATTCAGGATATGTCCGGTCGCATGTTCCTTTGCACACAGGTCTCAAGAATCCAGAAAGCCAGCTTGTAGGAGGCACCTTCAGATTCCATAAGCGTTGAAATGATGGAGTGAGCACTGGTCGCAGAACATCCACACAGCCGAGAGGTGTGCGGGGATAACAAGTCATTTCCAGTACTTTCGGCGAGAGCTCGCTACAATTGCAAGATTGCTTGGTCAAATCCCAGTCACTGGAATTTGACTCACTGGAATTCAGCGGTGATTCGTTGCTCCCAAGGTAGCCGAATCATGACCCCCATCTGTTGAGAAGCCCTCAGAAATTGCTGAGGTCATAGGTTGCAGCGCAGGACTCCCAAAACGACCAGAGCAGAAGTTGGCTCAATCAGGCATATGCCTAAGCACACAATCCTCTGCAATTGAAGCTCTGGTATTGGATATCTACAAGAAACGTCAGGGATTTTGTCAAAGGAGCGATTGAATTTTCTTTCCGGCCTATTGTTCAAATTCGTCATCACCGTTCATTTATACATAACGAGGCAATGAGGTAGCCGTCAGCTTCCTATTTTGCGCGGGCAAAGCTTGTCTATTAAGCGGTGTCTGTTTGTCCAAATTCATGATTGGTCTTGGAGCAGAAACTGCGGTATGCATTGCGTGTACTGCAAGTTATCGCTGATAAGGAATCGCGTCAATGCGCTTGGCTGTACCTTCATCTGAGATGCTGGCAAGTCTGAGTGAACCGTGGGCAGGAGTGTGCCCGCTGCTCAAATTGCCACTGATTCCGCCACGCATGAAAAGGGATTGATTGCTTCATCGTTGATACAATGCGACTCACATCGTGTCCCTCGGATAAGAATTTGACCAAAAGAAGTGAAGCCGTTGCAAGCGCTTTTTAAGCCCATTTTGGATTTGTAAATTCATAAAACGGTCACAATCAGAAGACCGCACGACTCCTGGCCAACGGCAGCGGCGCATCATTCTTCTCATTGTTCGATTACAGCTCAATCTATTCAATTTAATGGCCACCACTGTAATCGAGTAAAAAGGTGGTGGGAAAGAGTAAGGACATATTCGGCCAGTTTTCCCTTGAAACGTACAAAGATGGCTAATGTTGATAGTCTTGTTGCTGCTTTGTATTCAAAGAAGCAAACGTGCGCACAGTCAGCTACCTTCTAGTAAGTTTGACTCAAAGCGGTCTAGGCTTAGATGTTCCCTATTCTGTGAATCTGCGTTTGTGATCATCAGAAACGACCCAATCTTTAGATTTTGGGTCATTTTAAGACCAGTCGATGGGCAGCACGGTCAGCTGCGGCTGCGCTGTCATTTTGCCAAGGAAAAGGGCAGGAACTGATCTGGTTAGATACTTAGATTGATGGGAGGCATTACAGTTTTGAGTCACACATTTCCAGTACACAGAATTGAGGCTATAGATACATCAGACGGAAAAAAGGGGCCGTAGTGTGTACAGGCCTGATGGAAAGCAACCTTGGAAAAAGGCTCTTCTGTTCGTAGGGAGCTTTTGGGTAACTTTCGCAGAGAAAGAAGGCCAAATTCTGGCCCCTTTTGAGGAGGCCATGGGCCGTAGGGGATGTTCTTCAATGGACCTGGACTTTCCAAAAGGTCCTAGAACCTTGATGGGATAAGCACTGGTAGGGTGTAAGGGTCCAGTGGGGCATGATGGGACACTGTATACGGGCGCTGACAATATTTTGTTGTTTAGCGACTGTACGGGCGGTTGCCTTTTTGGCAATTCGTGTACTGTGCTGTGTCGTACACGTTTGGCACATCCCCGCATCCTGCGCCCCCAAGACCTCCGCGCTCCGTGACCTGCCGCTGGTCCCTAGGAATGCATAGGGACCATAGGGCCAGTTGGAGGCCAATGAAAGTACAGACCGGAACAACACTATGAAATTCTGTGGGATAGGGCAATACAAGCTGCGGTACGTTAGTGGGAAGGACCGTGAGGATCAGTGGGAAGTTCTGGGAAAATGGACTGTTTGCGCAAGGGGTACTGGGGTCTTTTTTCTCAGGGCGTCTGTTGGGCTGTCCGAGGGTCGTTGAAGTGTAGTGCTGTTGGAGCTGGCAGGTGTATTTAGGAGGGGATGTTTGGATCGTGGGCGCTCTCTCTTCCCCCGCACAACCCGTTCGCCCTTGGCTGCGTTCTGTCTGGATGGTTGGCGTTCAGTGGAAAGCTGTTGTGCTGTGAGCGTGAGGAGTTCGAACACAGTCGAGGGGGAGCAGTGTTGTAACGAACACGTTCGAATCTGTGTATCCTTGTCTCTTGATTCTCGGCGTTGAGCTTGATTCCCTTCTATTTGACTGACTGACCCGCGTGCGCTCACGTTGGGTGCTGTCTTCGTCGCCTCGACGATTCGTCTCCTTTGTCGCTGCCCGGCGAGTGAGTGGAGCGCAGCGGTGGGCCGCAAGGAACGAGCATTGACAACATCGGTGGGCGACATCCGACGATTGGGCAATATGCTTGATATAGTGAGCTACTGAGCGAAGTGTGGAGTATTGTTTCGCAGTTTAAGAGTGATATTTTGTGCCTCGCTTCGAGCTGCTCAGTCCTTGCATGCTTTTCGCTGTATATGAACGAATAGGGTGAAGTTGAATACGAAGTTCAGCACTGGGGTTGCGCCTCGCTTCGGCAGCGCTCGACAACACCCCAAGAGTCCTGTTGGGTCTGAATTTGCGTATTGTGGTGATCTTCATCGTCCTCTATGCTCCTATGGGCTAAGTTGTTGAATGTGCAGTAGCGGAACGCTCAGAAACCGTGGGCGATTGCCAGGGATGTGATAGTTGCTGTGTTTTTGGTGACTCTCATTGAGTGTGTATGACTTATCATTGAGTCATATTGGTATCCTCAAGTGCGGCCATCCTACTGTTGGCAATTGTCAGCTGTGTATGACACCATGGCACTCGAACATTATGCATGGCGAAATTGGGAGCAGGTGCAGAAACTGATGTCACATCAGTGATGAGCCCACCATGATAAGCTGCACATCAGTGGCGGGCCCATAGCTCCAGTGTGGCGCCCCACAAGCTGTGCGACAACGCTTCAGACAGTGCGGCAGCGTCACACATGGCTTCCCTTCAACATGACATTCTGACCTAGTGCAATTTATTTGCGCCTCACAGCATCCACCCACTGGGCCTCCGCCGTCCTGTGGCGGCGGCTTGTCCGGCACCGCCACCGGCTCCGACTCGATGACGTACTTGGCGCACGCTTTGCACAAGTTCTCCATGAACTCCTTCTTGGACTCCCTGCCCGTGGCCCGCGCGATGGCTGTGCTCTGGTCCAGCAGGTCCATCAGCGGCCTGTCGATCTTGCTGTTGCCCACCATCTCCAGGTTCACGGCCTTCTTGTCCTTGGCAGCCAACAGCTTCTTGAGCCTGCCACTGCGCTGCCCATCTGCTTGGCCGCTTCGTCCGCGGCCTCTACCGGTTTCTGTGGGCCCGGCCAAGGTCGTCTGTTGAAACGGCTGATTCGATTCGATTAGAATTTACTTTGATTCGATTTGATCTGAACTGTCTGACCAACAACACCTCTGGCGTTCATTAGCAGTCACATCGTCAGAAGAAAACATGTATCGTCGCATTTACTTCATTTAGTTTATGCCAATA